GACTCACTGCGAGGTGGGTCGAGCTGTTTAATTCCCAAAAACTGTCGAATTCTAGAGCGCTTTTATCGATTTTTGTCAGCTTCGAGCCACTCGTTCGCTGAGGTGAGGAATATGCTTTTTCACATACAATCTGGCTACAAAAATTCCTAAAAAAGTTATCCGGATTTTTTTCAAACGACTTTATAATTCAATGTTTTGTTTTAGGTTTCGGCGGACAAGGTGGGCCAGGCGGCATGCGTCCAGGCTTCGGTGGACCAGGCGGCATGCGCCCACCTGCTCCAGGTTTCGGACCAGGCGGTCGTCCAGGCGTCGGTGGACCAGGCGGCATGCGCCCACCTGCTCCAGGTTTCGGACCAGGCGGTCGTCCAGGCTTCGGTGGACCAGGCGGCATGCGCCCAGCTGCTCCAGGTTTCGGACCAGGCGCTCGTCCAGGTGGTTTCGTAGACTACGGGCATCTCAGCCAAACTTACCTTGAAAGTGATAGACATATAATCTTTTGAAATTCAGGCGGCACCAATCTTGGGCAAACGCCAATGCCAATCAGGAGAGCTAGGAATGTGCAGGGTGAGTGGAGGCGAACCTATCATTGATGCAGTAAGAAAATATTCCTGGAAATAATTATTCCACATTGTAAAACTGGACTTCTGGCACGTGTTAGCGGCTGCATAGGCTGCGGCGGAAGTGACATATAGTCAGCATTTCAGGGCTCGGGGACACAGCTGCTAGAGCGCAAGGAATGAGGTAAAGGAAGACATATGATTGAAAAAGGAGGATTGACAAGGAGTGCCCATAGCCGGAACGCCCCTTTTTTGCCTTAAAGGGCCATAATGCATACTGGGATAAAGACATTCCCCACCTTCGGCCAATTCGCTAGCGTCTATCCTTGTACTAGTACCTTGGTCCTAATCTGTAAGATCATATCACTTTTGCAATTCCACAGTAAGTAATCAATGGGCTTCGCCCCTTATTGGTGGCAGTTCTGACGCCTCCCTAGTAGTCCCGCCCACCAGAATTAGAAGGCTTTTTTCCTACATTCTGTTCTTACACCTTGTGTTTTTTTACAGTCAGAAGGTATTAATATTGGAGGCGCGAAGAAGCCATTAGTGAGTCAGAGGCGGCAGAATACAAAATAGGTACAGGGTACAGCGTCGTGATGTGTGAAACGGTGATGCCAGTGACCCACCCCCTTTTCGAGGAGGGTTTAGGTACGATCACCTATGTACCTACCCATTCTCCACATTTTCCAGATTTCAGCCAGAGATTTTCCGTCGAGCGAGGGGAGGGGGACATAATAGTAGAAATGAAAAAGGAAAAATTACGAAAATTATTAAAGTCAATGACCGGGGGTATTTTCCTCCCCCCCACAACGTGGCAAATTTCTCTCGAAGCCACATACGACTCCCTCTCCCAACAACGACCAAGTACGACCCCCCTCCTCGTTCACTCACATCCGCAGACAGTTTTTGCCATATGCCAAGTGAATAGGTCTCCAGCTGGAGTAGAAAGCTCTTTTTCAGTCAAGGTACATAGGAACATACCTGGAGGATGAAGATACCGGGCTGTGTCTAAGGTACATGCGTCGATTCCCAAATCCCATAGTGAACCCACAGTCTGAGGTAGGGAACAAGCCGAAGAAGAGGACGCAGACAAGTATGTGTGACTACGGTTGGGTATGTAACCGGCTCTGCGTCACCTGCAGCCTTATCTCATGCTACATGTATGGACGAATCTAGCCCCTCCTAGTTGAGGAAGCCCTTTCCCCCTTTTCCTCTATGATTGACATTTTGATAGTTATTCGTTTTTCAGTT